TGGGGTTTGGTTTTTTTTTTTTTTTTTTTTTTTTTTGCAGTCCTGAAGAGTGAACCCTGGGCACCAATGAGTTACATCACTCACCTTGCTTTTTAAAAATAATATTTTATTTATTATTTTTTATTCTATGTGTATGAGTCTGTTGCACAGCCCCTAGCCCTATTTATTTTTCACATTTGTGAATGTTTTGAATGCCTGCATGTATGTAAATGTACCAAGTGTATGTAATGAATCCTCTGGGATTGGAGTTAAAGTGACAGTTGTTAGCTGCCATGTGGGTACTGGAAACAAACCTGGATCCTCTGCAAGAACAATCAGTGCTCTTAAACGCTAAGCCATCTCCAGCCCCAATAAAACAAATTTTAAAAGAAACTATCTTGAGCTAAGTCTGGTAGTCTGTACCTGTAATCTCAGCACTTGGGAGGTAGGAAATTGTTAATTTGAGGCCATCTTGGGTTACATAGCTAGACTTTGTCACAGAAACAAATAAACTGGGCTGAAGAGATGGCTCAGCTATTAAGAGTGTGTTCTGCTCTTGCAGAGGACTAGAATTCCGTTTTCCAGGTCAGGAGGTTCATAGAGTCCTGTAATTCCAGCTTCAGGGGAATCCAACACATACCTACACATAGACACATGCATACACATAATTTAAAGAAAAAAAAAAACAAAACCCCGAGCTCTATGCTGAGCATGGTGATGCATGCCTTTAATCCCAGCACTTGGGAGGCAGAGGCAGAGGCAGGCAGATCTCTGAGTTCAAGGCCAGCCTGGTCTTCGTAGTGAGTTCCAGGTCGGCTGGGGCTACAGGGAGACCATGCCTCAAAAAGATCAAAAAAACAAAACAAAACAAAACTGAGTTCTTATATCCAATATTATTTTAGTATAAGTCTAGCATATATTCTTAAAAGGACATAATGCTACTTGTTATTTTATTTGTCTCATTTGTTATTTTCTCTTACTGTATACCTTTTTTTTTTAATTTTATTATTTTCATTTTATGTGTATGTATGTATTGCCTGCATGTAGGTAAGTGCACCCGTGTCATGCAATGCCCAAGGAGGTCAGAAGAGGCTGTCAGATCCCCTGGGACTGGAGTTACGGACAGTTGTTAGCTGTCCATGTGGGTGCTGGGATTCGAACCTGGGTCTTCTGCAAGAACAACCAGTGTTCTTAACTGCCATCTCTCTAGCCCCTGTACACCTTTCTTCATGATATTCAGTTACTAGTAATTGAAGTCAAAACCACAGAAGTACTGAGATAACAGGCATGTACAGGCTCAGTTGTGGCTTTAAGAGAGTGACTAGCTCCTACTCGTAAGCTCAAATAGTCTGCAGTTATCTGGTTGACATGAATCTCATGAATGCTTGGAAAATGCCCAGGGCACCCCTCTCTGTCTTTCTCTGTCTCTCTCTCTCTTTGCCACCCTCCTCTCAGAAAGATGACTGCAGTTGTCACCCCAACTTGTCTTATTTAAAAGTTATGTTGCATTATTCAGAATTTTCTGTGACTTTACTGGATATTTCAGGCAAACTCTTAATTCTTCGTAAATTTCTGAAGCACAGCTCTGGCCCTTTTCTCTTTCCCTTCCTTGTTACATAGATGGAACTTGTAAGCAGTGTTCAACAAGTATTTCAGATACCTTCTGCCAACTAATTTTCTGCATGAGTTACCCCACGGAATGTCAGTTTTCTGTGTCTGCACTGCCAGCATTTTTTGAGTAATGAAGTTCATTTTAAATGTGCTTCTTTTTGTTTCAGGGGGTGGCGCTGGGATTTAGTTTTGTTTGTCAGTTTAATATTTGTGTATGGGTGGGTACATTGGAACATGTCAGTGTGTGCTTGCGGTTGCCAGAGATCAGCCTTAAGATTACATTTATTTGTGGGTGTATGTATATGTGTAGGCATGCACATGCATATGGAGGTCAAAGGACAACTTGGAGGAGTCAGTTCTCTTCTCTACCATGTGGGTTCTGGGATCAAACTCAGGTCATCAGGCTTAGCAGCAAGTGCTAATAATACCTGTTGAGCCATCTTGCTGATTCCACCTTATTTTCTGAGATAGTCTTTTGTTAGCCTGGAGCTTACTGAGTAGGCTAGGCTGACTGACCAGCACGTCCCAGAGATCCACCTGGCTCTTTTTCCACCACACCCAGCTTTTTTACATAGGTACTGGGGATTGATTAGGTCCTGATGATTGTGTAGCAAATACTTTATTGACTGAGCCATCATCTTTCTAGCCTTCTGGTTTTTGTTTTTTGAGACAGGGCCTTGTTGTGTAGCTCAGATTGGCCTGGAATTCATAGTCTTCCTGATTCTTCCTTCAAAATGCTGGTATTATACCCACCACCATTCACCATCTCACTGAACTTACGAATATCGAGTACCTGCCTAAAATGCAAATCTTCAGTCATTCTCAGTACAACACATTGCATGTTAACTGTATTAGTAATTTTTATTTCGGTAAGAAACTACCTGAGAAAGAGTAATTTGGTAAAGAAACTTGCTTAGCTCACAGTTTTAGAGGCTGAAAGTTTAAACAGCAATAAAGATCTTCTGTCTCCCTGGTTTTACTACATCATGCCCAATGGCACATGGCAGGAATGTTGGGGGAAGAAAAGAGAGCACATCTCCAAATAGGGAGCCAGAACATGACTCAGAGTTAGGTTTACTCTTAGAATAATTTGTGCTCACAAGGGTTAACTCAGGGCTCTACCAAAGCAATCTTAGTCACTTCTGAAATCAGTGATCTAGCCAACTCCTGCTAGGTCCCTCCTCTCTTTTGTTTTTTTTTTGGTCTTTTAGAGATAGGGTCTCCCTGTAGCCCCTGCTGGCCTGGAACTCATTATGTAGACCAGGCTGGCCTTGAACTCACAGAGATCCATCTGCCTCTGCTTCCCGAGTGCTGGGATTAAAGGTGTGCGCCACCATGCCTGGCTCTTGCCATCACCTCTCACTAGTTTCAAACTAGATGTCTCCAAGCTTCTACCACATGAACCTTTGGGGTCAAACCACATGCATCCAATTCATAGCGCCAGCCTATTCAGTTTTTTTACCGTTTTTTATATTTGTATGATCATTTGTTCATGGTATAAGGTTGTCTTGCATATTATAACCAACAAATAACATTTTCTTTCTTTCCTATGTACTTTATAAATATAGATTAGCTTGTTTTCAGCTGTTTCTTTTGTCCCCAACAGTCTGAAGATGATGAGAAGCTGAAAAAAAGGAAGGAGCGATTTGGGATTGTTACAAGTTCAGCTGGAACTGGAATCACAGAGGATACAGAGGTAAACTGTACTTAGAATGCTTCATAGAGCTCTTAAAAATGACAACAAAGGGCTACAGAGATTGCTCAATAGTTAAGAGCACTGGCTGCTCTTGCAGAGCAGTTCAATTCCAAGCACTCACATGGTAACTAACAGTCATCTGTACCTCCAGTTCCAGGGGATCCGACGCCCTCTTCTAACCTCCGACGGCACATTGCACAACACGGGTGCACATATATACATGCAGACAATACACTCAATACACACAAAATAAAAATGAAAAATAACAAAATATGTTTTAAAAACCACCACCAACAAAACCCAGAAGAGTGTGTGTGTGTTCACTCATGTACAAGTATCAAGGCTCCCATGCGGAGGTCAGAGGACAACTTCATGGAGTTTTTGTCTTTTACTTTGTTGATGCAAGGCCTTGTTCCTGCCACTGAGTAGCTTACTCCAGACTACCTAGCTTACTACAGTTAACTTTTTTTTTTTTTTGGTCTTTTTGAGACGGGGTCTCCCTGTAGCCCCAGCTGTCCTGGAACTTACTATGTAGACCAGGCTAGTCTTGAACTCACAGAGATCTGCCTGCCTCTGCC